AAAAATAAACTGAAGGCACAGCCATCATTCCTTGTTCAAGTACCAGTAAAACATCCACCACACAGACAGGACCAGCTTCCATTTTGTTAGTGCAATAAAAAGAGCCCTTGCGATCTGGGACAGAGTGGCTGCCATTAGAGGCAGCTCAGTACACTGGAGATGGCATGGGGGTGCGTGTGCTCCCCCTCTTGGTGGCTGTGAGGACCAGACACCACAAATAGCAAACCCCTGGAGTCTGGGGTGGGAGGGAGCCGATGGTGAGCACACGCAGCTACTGCCAGAAAGGCTGGGGGTTCAAGTCCATCCCGGGGTGCCTGGAAAGGAAGGCCTGGACACCTAATGCCTACAAACCACCCACTGAGAACACTGTGGCACCGTTCTCCTGACACACGGGGTCACTCGGAGGCAGAAGGGACTTGGTGACATCTGGTTTGGTACATTTTTAAAATGTACTCACTAGAAAGGTCTTGAAAATTTTAAAAAGCAAAGATGTCACTTTGAGAAGTAAGGTGCGCCTGACCCAAAGGAAGGTATTTTCAGTTGCCTCCTATGCATGTGAAAAGAGGAGACTGGATCAAGAAGCTCAAAGTACTGATGGTTGACATGGGGGCTGGTGAAGAACTGACCCCGACTGCCGGGGAGGGAACAGCTCTTGGAGGCGCTACGCCAGAACGTTCTGGAGAAGCGGGGATGCACAGACCCTGTCTGACATGTCTGGGACAAGGTGTCAGGAGGGACCAGTCCCTGGAGAGGGCCAGCACGCTCGGTGAAGTAGAGGGTCAGTGACAAAGGAGATGCACTGACGGGCAGATGTGCCGATGGGCTCAAGTGTGAGGACGGCGCGGGACAGGGCAGGGTTTCGTACGAGCGTGTCGTACCGAGGGTCACTATGGCTGGACCGACTTGAGAGCACCTAGCAACCCCCACCCTTCTCAACAGAAAGCCCAAGTGTAAGGCAGGAAAAAGCAGAACTGCCAGGCGGCAACAGTGCAAAGACTGATGAGGAGCCAGGCCAGGGCCGCTGACTCGGCCATGACTCGGCAGCTGCCCCCACTGGGAGTGGGGAAGTGCCAGTGAAAAGGTCAGACACGAAACGAGGCCGTGGGATCAATTCGCCTGTGCAACGTGCCAAGGTTGTTACCCACCGTCAGCGCCGAGATGGGCCTGGGGAAGCCAGGACGACCACGGGCAGGACGGTCGGGCCCAGCAAGCGAAGCGCTGCCCTGACGACAGTCAGTCATCAGAGGCACAGGAAAGGCAACAGGGACACCGTTCCCACTGCTGTTGCTAGTTAGCACGGGGCCAGAAGCAGAGAGACCAACCTCTGCAGGCAAGAGCTGGCTCAGCGTCCAAGCCGCACACCCCAGGGCCTGCAAACATAAACTCTCCGGCCGCTGGCAGAAGAAATCCATGGAGGAGGGGCGTGGCCCTGTCCACACACGGGTGCTGCTCGCTGGGGCTGCCGGCCCTGGCCACGGACTCCTGAGGCCTTCTCACCCCTCCCACCCAATGCCTTCAACGCCTAATGTATACTCCAAGTGAAAGAATATAATGGACCCTGCGGAAAGGGCCAATTAGCTCAATGAAAAGAGAAAAATAACTTTTCAATAAAGAAACTCAACTGAGTGCCTTAACGCTGACATCAAAAAACCAACTTCACGGTAACAGTGCATTTCTTCTGAGTTCTTCCTCTCAGACTGATGACGGCCGCCACTGGAAACCACAGTGCTTGTTCCCGGGTGAGCAGATCCGTGCCTGAACATCCACGCCACCCAGCCACTGACAAGGACCTGCCACCGCTGCTTGCCTCACACCGCTCAGCATCCTCCGAGCCCTTCTTCCCCAGAGTGTCACCAAAGGCGTTCTCCTTGCCAAGTCCCACGGCTTCCCTCTCTTCCTGTCCTCAGGGCCCCGGAACACTATGAGTGATGATCACCAGGTCCCTCCCCACTTGTCTCCCACATCCGCTCTTCCCCTTGGGCGTGCCCGGCTCCCACCCTCCCACCACACTGCACTGGCATCTTGGGCAGTTAACCGCCTGGACAGCCTTCAGATTCTGACCCCGACGCGCTCAGCCTGGCGCTTCTCTGAGCCCCGCGCACTGTATGCTCAGCCTGAGCGGCCCTCAGCCCGAGCAGAGCCAAGGCCGTGGTCCCTCCAGACCCCTCTATGACTCTGCGTTTCCCCTGCAGCCTCAGCTGAGGGCAAGACCCTCAGCAGGGAAGTTTCCTCTTCCCCAATCAAGCTCCCACACCACAGCCCTCCTCTGTTGCCAGCCTCCCTGTCCTGCAACACTAAGTCTCTGAGAATCAGCCAGATCGGCCACTGTCACTGCAGCACGCTTCCCAAGCCAACGGGGGTCCACAACCCCAGTGCCCATCAACAGGTGACGGACAAACAAGTGTGGTCTACACTCACCATGGAATGTCACTCAGCCTGCAAGGGAAGTGATGTGATACATGCCACGACACAGAAGACCCTGGGCCACCCGTGACACTAGGCAGACACAGAAGGACCAACATTACATGACCTGACTTACATGAGATACCTGGACGAGGCAAAGGCAGAGACAGGAGTCGGAGCAGTCCACAGGGGTGGGCGGGGAAGGGCGTGGCCACTCAGCGGGCTCCGGATTGGTATTCAGGGTAACGGGCAAACTCAGAAACAGTGCTGGTGAACTCATGCCACTGAACTGTACATGGGGAATTGCTGCAAATGAGTGCCTTTTCATGTGTATTTCACCACAGTGACAATCCATACTATGGCAGGCCAGGCTATCCCACTACCTTCCTGAAAACCCTGGGATGGCTTCCCCCAGCCTGTGGAATGAGGGTAAGCTCCGCTTCCCACGAGCCAGGACCCCGCCAGCATCCCGCATCCACCTGCCGGGCCTCAGCACTCCCGCCTGGAGGGGAACGGCTCCGTGACGGTGCCTGTGACTCTGAATGTGTCCACCGAGGTCACACAGGCAAGGCCCGAGCCCTGACTCTCTGAGTCGGGGTGGAATGCTCTGGGCGCCTCCCTGTCACCCATGGGGGGGGTCCTGATGAGGCTAAGGCTGTGTGCCAGCCCCAGTCCGTCTACAGCCACCAGAGTGCAGGGTGCAGGTCCCTGGACAGCAGCATCCGGCCCCTTCACGCGTCACCTGCACAAGGGCCGCCTTCCCTGCTCCGCCTTCTGCTCTCTCTGCTGGAACAGGAAACAATGAGAGTCTAAAGGGCACGTGGTCTCCTGACCCACAGACGCCATCCCCCCCTCACCTGGCCTGTGCTCAGCCCTGGACGCTGGCCTCGGGTGCGTGCTCTAACCCCCCAGTGATTCGATAAGAGAACTTTAAAGTCACTGTGCATTTCAAAAAGTAAACACAGGATGAGATAAAACTAAACGTGGGAAGGTGGTTAAAGACAAATAGAGGAAGAAGACTGAGGCACACATCAGGAGGGGCAGTCCCTGGAGAAGGATGGCATGCGTGGTCAAGTGGGCGTCAGCAAGAAAGGGGAAGACCCTCGGTGAGATGGACTGACACGGTGGCCGTGACAATGGGCTCCCACATGGCAGCACGTGAGGATGGCAGAGACTGGGCAGTTTTCCTTCTGCTGCACACAGGGCCACCACGACTCAGCGCCGACTCGATGGCATCTAACGACGTGGGTCAGGTTGGTACTGCACGTGGATGAGACGAGAGGCGCGGTCGACCCTTTTTGGAACAAGGCACATCCACAGACTTACTGGAAACCCTGTGGAACAAGGCTGTCTGCTAACAGGCATGACCTCACCATGTGGTTGTGTTTTTATACATTTACTATCTGCGGCTTACAGATGGGGTTCTTACTTTTCCCACAGAAAATCAGAAGCTGTTCGTGCTTGATTCATCCGAGAACAGACCTCTAATGCACAGACAACCAACAATAAAGTCGAGCCGAGTCATACTAACATTAGACCCCCATCTGGAAGGAACAGCACAAGGACACGGGCAGTTATGAGGGCTTCGTAAAATGATTTCTCAAAAGTAACAACACCCCGGGAGGTGCCTGGAGTACTGGCAGAGCAGGGCCTCTGAAGGCTCGGACACCATGTCACGAGCGTTGCTGCGGCCCCGGGAGCCCCCAGTCCTGCTGATGGTCTCTCCTCTAACCAGGCCCAGCCTTGCCAGCCCCCAGCAGCAGCACCAGCGGCACCGGAGACACTCGATCAGCACTTCCTCTTTGCAGCCAACGACTTGTTGCCCTACTCACAGTGACCCTGCGCACAGTGAGAGCGCTGCCCCGTCCTCAGGATTGGGTGCAGACCAGACTGCTGTGACGCACCACCCGTACGGCCTGCGGCATCAGCTGACTTTTGGAGGAACACCCCCAGGCCCCTCTTCCCGGTCCGTGTGGAAGCCCCACGGAAACCAGCTCAGCATCCCAGCGGCTCGTCAGCCTCCCCTGACAGACAGGACACTGGCCAAGGACGGGACCTGGGTCTCCCACGTGGAAGGCTAGGATGTGAGCACTGAACCACCCGTGCTTCCAGTCAGCAACCCAGTCTGCTACAAGCAAGCACCAGCCTGACTTGCCATCTCCATCCTTGGAGTGACTTTCAACGTGTTCGAAGCAGAGCCCGCAGGGTCAAGGATCACACCTGCAGAACCTCCAGAAAAACTCTTCTGTATGATTGAGAAAAACCACTGCCAGCAAGTGGATCCCAACTCCTAGCAGCCCTGTAGGACAGAGGAACCGCCTCACAGGGATCCCAAGGCTGGAGCAGCAGGCAGGTTCAAAACACCAGCCTTCCAGTTAACAGCTGAGCACTTAATCACAGCACCACCAGGGCTCCTTCCTGTATGGTAAAGGGCTTGGTAAAACGCTGAACTGTACACACAGGTGCAAGCTAGTACTGTCAGTCCGACTGGAAACACGTGAGTAATGGTCGAAGTGTCGGGTGCACTCCTCCACAGCCAGGGGAGGCTAGGGCGGCGTCCCCCCAACTGTCCGCTAACTTCTTCCCTTTCTCCACAGGCAGCCCTCCTGCGACTGGGACAGGAACACTGCTGATCACCCTGGAAGACGTGAACGACAACGCACCCTTCATCTACCCCACCGTGGCTGAAGTCTGCGACGACGCCAAAAACCTCAGTGTGGTCATCTTAGGAGCCTCAGATAAGGATCTTCACCCAAACACAGACCCGTTCAAGTTTGAACTCCACAAGCAGGCTGTCCCCGACAAAGTGTGGAAGATCTCCAAGATCAACAGTAAGTCCGCGGGGGCGCGCTCACGGGGCTCAGGCGCTCCCTTCCCTGCTCTCGCACGCACGCAGTCTCACGGGGCTCATTTCCAGTTACTCACATCCGGGCAGACAGCCACCACCCAATAAAGCTTATCGCGATCAAGCACATCTCGTGAACACTCTGGTTCCCCAGCGTGGGCCACTTATGCCGACCCGAGACGGTCCGTGAAGTGTGCGAGAACACGCTGGAGAAGCGTGAACTAACCAAACGACACAGGGCTGCCACAAACGCGGTATCTGGGAAGCATGGTGAAGGAGCTGTGCCGGGATCCTGAACCCACTCGCCCCAGGCGGCAGATACACCGTGCACAAACGCTACAGAGAAAGAAGCAGCGATGGGAGCATGGGTGTCAAGTCCCCCACCTCTAACCTCCACTTAGGATGCAGACCCCTGCCCCTCTACTTTATCTTCTCCCTGTGTCCTGCCTCCATCCCACTTAAGACATTCCTACCTTTCTTTCCACATGGGCAGGTGGGATTCAAAACGGGGCCCACTGTTTCCCACCTACCTTGTAAAACCTGAAACCACAGGGTATGCCCAGGGCCTCCCCCAGCCCTTCCCCATGACAGTGTGAGCTAGCCACTCTGTTGACACACTCACCTTGCTTCACCAGTGAAGCCACATGCGCTCACCCACCTCACAGATGAGAGGCTACACTCAGTGTTCAATAAGGAATTGATCCTGTCAGCCTACGCAGGGTCCCTACTTCTTACAGCAGGGGTAGAACTTTTCATGGGAGGGGAAGAAATTACCCAGTTCATTCCATTTTGAGCACGTACTGTACCACTGTGCGTAAAATTTTCTATTAAAAACTCCATCTCTTGTTACAGTCCTATGTCATAGCTTCTTTTTATTAGCGCCCTTCTCTTGTTATCGATTCCACTTGCCTGTTTGTCTATTTGATGATTGCTTTTTAAGAGATGAATTCTGTTACACTGATTCTTCTTCATTAAGGAGGCCCTTCTCCCGTCTAAGGGGTCAGTGTTTATTTGCTAGCTCCTACAGCTGTGGCTGATTTGAATCATCAAGACTAGTTCTCCAACTGCAACGTCCAGAAGGCGCGTCCTCCATGCCGCCTCCTCCAGTCACTGAGTGATGGTCCCCCCAGGCCCTTTCTGCTGCTGTCACCCCTGGATAAGGCTTCTTCATCTGCTTTTATTTCCTACCATCACACCCGTAGTTCCCTGCCTGGTTTTACTTCCTTGATAAGATGCCTTCTAAACAATTTTCCTCACCCCAATTTGTTTTCCCCAAAAATACTCAGCACTCTTTGTGCCCATGAAGAGCCAGTCTGAAAACACACCCTTGCTTTTTGAGTGACCAAAAAAAGAAAAAGCCCAAGGCTAGTGCCTAAGGCACTTGACTGCTAACCAGAAGGCAGGCAGTTCAAACCCACCAGCCACTCCTCCGAAGGAAGGTTAGGCAATCTACTTCCGTAGTGATACAGCCTTGGAAATCCAAGGAAGGGTTGCTATGAGTCAGGTCCAACTCGACGGCACATAACAACAACAAAGAACAGGGCCAGTGAGGTGGTCACTCCTGACCGCCACCTAGTGGACTGGCTGACCAGAGCTATTCCCACCAGTAGGAACAGACTCCATGGCAACAGATTGTTTTCTTTCTTTCTTTCAACGGGATTAGGACAGTGGAGAGAATGCCTACAGACCCCGACCCTGCCGTGGTCACGTCGGGGATTCCGACCCAGACCTAGGTCTGGGGCCTGAGATCTGATCAAATGTGCCCACCTCTGAGGCACCACACAGGGGCTCGGCCCACGTTGACAGCAGGTGGCCTTTCCCATGTGTTCCTAGATGCCTGATGGGATCTCTGCCCTGATGGTGCAGGGAGTTTTTGGGGCCCAGCGGTCTGCACAACACTGGGTCCCTGTGAAGCTGATGGCCTTGAGCACCCATCCAGAACCCTCTACACTGGTGGGCGTGTCCCCCAGCCACACTGGCCACAGGGCAGCCACCAGCCAGCGTGACCACTGGGCACTGGACACGCGTCGAGTGCCACTGAGGATGTGAATTTTTCATTTTAGTTCATGAAGATTGACGTCTAAACCCTGGCATGACTGTAATTAAACGGCAGTGCCTGGTGTGTGAGCTTTTCTTGGGGCCACACCATCCTTTTTCCCTCTCTTGGAGTCCCTGGGTGGTGCCAACAGTTAACACACACAGCTGCTGAGCACAAGGTGGAAGCCTGGAACCACCCAGAGAGGCCTTGAAAGAAAGGCCTGGCAATCAATTGACTTTTGAAAACCAGCCACTGAGAACTCCACGGAGCTCAGTTCTGACCCACGGGGCAGCCGCGAGGCAGGGCGGGCTCGCTGGCAGCCGGGCTTTGTTTTCATCCTACCCTCTCTCACAAGGCCCTCTCTGTCTCTGTAGGTACGCACGCCCTGGTAAGCCTCCTTCAAAATCTGAACAGAGCCAACTACAATCTGCCCGTCATGGTGACAGATTCAGGGAAGCCGCCCATGACGAACATCACAGACCTTAGGGTGCACGTGTGTTCCTGCAAGAACTCCAAAGTGGACTGCAATGTGGCGGGGGCCCTGCGCACCAGCCTGACCTCCGTCCTGCTCATGGCCCTCTTCGGTTTCGCGTGTAAGTTGCCCTAACTCCAGCGCCTGCCCTGGTAGGAAAGCCTAACTTTGCCGGGTCCACCAAACCCCTTTTCCCCCTCTCTATCTTCTAAAGAAAATGTACCACACAGAATATCTCCTGTCTAGTGACATCTGTACGACAAAAAATTTCACACATATAAGGCTGTAAGGAATGTTTCGGGGCATCTTGGCAAGCCCCTGCCAGCCACTCTGAGCAGCTGTGCAGTCACAGGGGCTTCTGTGCCAAGCAGGTGATGGGCCGAGCTGCCGAGATGTTGCCAAGCCAGAGCTAATAAAACGGTCCTGATTAGCTCTACCGGGGTCTGATTTGCACCATGCAGAATGATCTTCTCAGAGGTACGGTCGGGAACTGTGCCTCTCTGAGAACAGTCACAGGAAGTTACGGGTCGAGGTTGGGTCTCAGGAAACGGTCGGGAACTGCGCCTCTCTGAGAACAGTCACAGGAAGTTACGGGTCGAGGTTGGGTGTCAGGGTACGGTCGGGAACTGCGCCTCTCTGAGAACAGTCACAGGAAGTTATGGGTCGAGGTTGGGTCTCGGGGTCGGTCAGGAACTACGCCTCTCTGAGAACAGTCACAGGAAGTTATGGGTCGAGGTTGAGTCTCGGGGCACGGTCGGGAACTGCACCTCTCTGAGAACAGTCACGAGAAGTTATGGGTCGAGGTTGACTCTCGGGAAAAAAGACAGACGCATAATTCCCACTGGTTTGTTTACCGACTGGAAGTGATGCTATCATATAATGAAACAGTATTTTAAGGAAATGAATGATTATGCCGAGCAATGGAAACATGGATGGAGAACACATACAATGGATCAAACACCTCCGGTATGTCGGATACCAGGCCGACGTTAACCTCTGTCAGACCTCGCACAGAGCTACTGCAATCCAAAAGCCTCTTTTGGCCTTGATATTGACATTTTGAGGAAGTATCAGGTCAACTGTGAGTTAGGAAACGGGAAACTGACAAGAGAAGTTACTAGGTCATCACGGTGTAAGCGGGACTGCTGGGAAACCCCACGGCCCAACATGGACATCCAATCCACTGCACGTGACACTGTGTGCTGGGCTCGGGTCCTGGGGGAGAGCTCACGGGAAGCTGACGCTGAGCAGCTCTCCGGTCCTCACACTGCGTTTCCGAGAGAGAACGTATCCTCTCCACCAACCCACCTCTAGCACAACTGCTTCCACATCCTCCAGCCACAAAGCCCAACAGCATCTAAGTCTAACACACCCACCGCTGCTGCAGCCTCCAATTCCAGGTCCTCATCCTCACCTCCCTGCCTCCACTTCCTAACTCCACCTTGGCCTGAGAACTCAGGGAAGAGAGGAAGGTCCTGGAGTGGTCTCAGTCTTCTCTCTAGCAGGAGACAATGACATCCGCAGAGAATGAAGGCTGCCCGCGGGACTGTGGCCGGGGAATAAATCAGAACAGACTAGAAAGGGGCAACCAAGGGAGCTTTCCGAGAGAGGGCCCCGCAGGCCCCCAAAGAGCAAGGGAGCTCGGGCACCCTGAGTGTGTAACAACGCGTTCCACTTGTTCGTCTCTGGCTTTGTGGCAGAGACCCCACACCTAGCTTCCTGGAGTCTGGAATAACATCCTCCGTGAGCACGCGTGCTCCCCTGGTAGCTGGGTCGGGGCTGGCTGGGGACCTCAGGGCCCTGGTCAACCTGCAGGAGGTCACCCCTGCGTGGCATCGACTGGGGAGACAGGAACCAAGTGGGATCCTACTGGCTGCACCGCTGGGTCACCAGGGGAACTTTCAAAGGGAAATACGCCCAGACCCGGGCCCTGCCCCAGTCGAAACCTTCTCTCGGCGGTGTGGCCTGGACAGATGTCCTTTTCAAAGGCTCAGCAGGCAGCCTAGGGGTGGGCTCCTGGGCGCTCTGGCAGCCTCCCGGCAGACCCCGCATGGTCCCTCATTCCCCTCCAGCAGGAATGAGGAGGAGGGTGAGTGTAAGAACACAGACGTGAAGACAACCGCTGATGCTGGAGCGCCACAGGCCCAGGGAAGGGGACGCAAAGCAGACAAGCGCTCAGGGAAGGCCTGGAGAGCCTGCCATTACAGTAAACCCTCCAGAGAACACCAACTGGGAGAGTCGGAGGCCGAGGTAACAAACACACTGAATCGGGTCTGAGCTTCCTGTCACTCGAGTCAAGGAAGCAAGGTGTACGCTAAGGACAGCAGCCTCCGTGCTAAACACTAACGCGCTGGCCTGGGCAGCGCTGCTAAGTGTCGGTGTACATCGGAACCACTTAAGAAACATTTTCAGAATGTACATTTCCTTGGCTCGGTGCCCTAGAGATTTTGATCCATGGGCCTAGATTAGGAGCTGGGAGTGAGAGGTAGGAGATGACGGGTGGGTGGATGGACGAGTGTGGGTAAAAGGGAACGGACACCCCTTCTTTGCTCTCTTCCCCTTCAAGAAATGAAAATTACAGGTAACCTCCCCAATGGGCCCCTCCCAGCTCCATTCCCTAGACTCTCACTCCCCAGACACCAGCTCTGCAAACTGTTCCTAGACCTTGTTCATGCTTTGACTACACGCACCCCCCCCAGTGTTTACTTCTATGCCGTGTGGTTTGCAGAAACCCACGTAATCCACACGATGCAGGGCACGTGCTCTGAGGCCTGCCTGCCTTCCTCTCCCCGTTACCCTCCAGGACCTGTCAGTGTTGCTCTAACCCGCAGGCTGGCAAGCTTTTCTGTCCACCAAGGCCAGACGGGCGATTCGGAGATTTGTGGGCTACGTCTTGTCTGTGCCACTTACTCTCCTTTATTTTTCTGTTTTGTTTCTTACCACCCTTTAAAAATGTAAAACCATTCTTAGCTTGCAGGCCACAAACACAGGCCGTACTGCGCAACCCCACTCTAGCTCTCACAGTCCAAACAGCTAGAAAGTAGCTGTCCTGGGCAGAGACCGACAGACATGTTAGGCTACTGACAGTTTTCTGCCATGACCACAGTGGTGCAGTGAACACCAGAGCCTGTCTTCCACCCCACCCCAGGAACCAGGCCAATGAGCACTGCACAAAGGAGCCAGCATGGCTAGGACCGCTGCTCCCGGGACAGGCTTAGCATGCTGGGGGCCAGGGCTGCACGCACACGTCAGGGTCTGGGACACCAAAGGTAGGACCGTATACAGGACTGAAAAGAAATGAAAAGTCGGTGCATGTGTGCAAAAGTGCACAGGGTATGCGTGAGCAGTGTGAGTGAGTGTGGTGTGTGCATGTTGATATGTATCTGTGTGACTATATATATTGTGTGTGTTGTATGTTAGTATATGTGTACATTTGTGGGACTATGGTGTACTGTGTATTCGAGTATACAGTGTTTGTGCACATGTGTATGAGTGCTGTGTGTGTGCTGTGTGGGGGGAGTGGCTATGTACGTATGTATGTGTGCACGTGTCTAGGAATGTTGTGTTGTGCATGTGTATTGTGTGTGCATGCATATGACAGTGTTTAGTACTGTGTATGTATGAGTGTATGTGCTATGTATGTGTCACTGGGTGCATATGTGGGAGCTGTGTGTGCACATGTGGGTGTTGCATATTTGTGTACTGGATATATGTGTGCAAGTATATATTTTGCATGTGCATGAGTGTACTGGGGGGAGTGTCGTGTGTAAGTGTGTGTCGTATGAAAGAGTGTGTACTGTGGATGTGGCAGAGTCGTGTGCTGTACATGTTGTGTATGTGTATGTTGTATGCGTGTATACACAGTGTTTGTATGTGTGGTGCATGTACACATGGGGAGAATGGAGTAGTCGCATCACACAGCACCCTCTATAAACCCCACTGCAGGACACACAGCCTGGTCCATTGCAATGCAGCTCACTCACGAACTCCTTCTAGGTGGACGCACTGCCATCGAGTCGATCCCGACTCATCGCGACCCTCGTTCAGTTTCCAAGGTGTAAATCTTCACAGAAACAGATCTCCTCATCTTCCTCCTACCAAGTATCCGGTGGGTTTGAACTACTCACCTTCTAGTTGGCAGCCAAATACCTCACCCACTATGCCACCACAGCTTCTTCCTAGCTGGGCAGTGACTTTTAGAAACATCCTCCAATGTCCCTGGAGCCCTGCTTGTCCAAATACAGGCTCCCAGGTAGGTCCACCTGCCCTACGGAATCAGCAACTCAGGTGATGGGCCTCCAGGAACCAGGCCCAACGTCTGAGCTCCTACCAACTCTTCCATTAAATACCAGCAAGTCTTAGCTGGTTTGTGTAAGATGGTAAGTCTACATCAATGTGTCAGCACTTCCTTCTGGCGAGCAGACCTTGTTCTCGTGCCCCCATCTGACGCCCCTGACCTGCAGCCATCAGGAGTGAGCAGACTGTCTCTCCACGGAGCTCTTTGGTTCCACTTAGTCCAAGGCAGGACTGCCTCGCAGCTCCTACAAGCTCATCATCAGCCGGACTGATTAGAAACAGGTGCAGCTGTGCGCCATCTCACCTGAGGGCCGGCCACTTGCCACTGCTCCACGGTGACAGAGCATTCTCACAAAGGCCCTCTGATCTCCCCGGGGCACTGGGAAGCAGGCCTTCCAGCGGGTTCATTCCGGGCCCACCCCTGCTGACAATCTGTGTCTGCACCAGACAGGATCAACACTGTATCAAGATCCCAGTGACTTTCCTACATGACGGCTCACCTGCCTGACTTCCAAATGAAGGGTGGCGACCGGCACTCCTCTCCAGAGCAGAACTGCTCCTCAGGGCTCCAAGGCCGCGACCTCAGAAGCAGACGGCCAGGCCTCTCCCGAGCAGCCTCTGGACCACCAGCCTTCCCAACAGTCAGGCACCTACCAGTCTCTGCCCCCAGGGACTCCCTGTAAAAGACACAGGGTTCTGTAATGCCATCCACTGGGCTTTACAGCCTGCCTGCCGCTCCATCACACACCTGACCCAAGGCTCTCCTAGCAGAGGGATGTGTGTAAGATGGCAGGGTTTGGCTCATCGGGCTGAGTTACCACGGGA